TGCAGCGGCCGCCTGGGCAGAGGGCAGCGGCAGAGCGCCAGCGAGCGCGAGAAGCTGCGCATGCGCACGCTCGCCCGCGCGCTGCACGAGCTGCGCCGCTTTCTGCCGCCGTCCGTGGCGCCCGCCGGCCAGAGCCTGACCAAGATCGAGACGCTGCGCCTGGCCATCCGCTACATCGGCCACCTGTCGGCCGTGCTGGGCCTCAGCGAGGAGAGCCTGCAGCGCCGGCGCCGGCGGCACAGCGACGCGGCGTCCCTCGAGGGCTGCCTGCTCTGCCCCGACGGCGGCCCCGCGCAGGCGCAGATGCAGGCGCACGCGCAAGTGCTGGCGCGCGGCCCGGGGCTGGGCTCTGCTGCCGGCGCCGGGGCGTCGTGGGGGTCTGCTCCCGAGCCGCGCGACCAGTCGGTGCTCTACGCCCAGGCGGTGTGCCCGGAAGGCCAGTCGGTGGAGCCGAGCCCCTCGTCCCCGGTCAGTATCTCCTTCCCCGCGCAGAACTCGCGTCCGGCGGCGTCGGGTGTGGCGCCCCTTCCTGTGGGCGCCCCAGGCGCACAGCCCTGCTGCGGGGACCAGACAACCTGCCGCCCCCCCGTCGGCAGCCTGGCCTCGCCTGCTCGCTCTGCGGAGCAACATGGCGTGCCCAGGGCGCCCAAGCAGCGGGAGGAGGGAGAGGCCACGCAGGGAACAGGGCGCTTTTCCTCGGCAGAGGCCCACTGAGGGTGAGCCTGTGAGCGCGGACACTCGCACTTGGCGGCCACGGGGTTCCTTCTCTCCCTGCAGCAATTTCCCGGCGACGTGCTGGCCCTGCTGGAGACATGGCTGCCCCTCTCGCCCCTGGAGTGGCCGCCGGCCTGAGGAGCCCAAGTGACGACGGACAACTGGCGCCCTGTCTGCGAGCACCGAGGACTTTTGACCACAGCACCTTCAGAACGGTCCCTCTCCAGACCCCCCATTCCTGGAAGAGGGCCCTGGCGATACTGGCATGGGCATTCCTCGGGGTGAGAGCCTGTCCCCCACCAGTCCGGCCCTCCCTAACCTCTCCCTCGATGAAGGGACCCATAGTGTAGACAGTTTGAAACAGGCAGGGGGCTCTGTCTAGTGTATATTTATTTATTTGTGAATAAACTGTGCTGGTGTCAGTTGGCAATTTCTTCCTTCTCTGCATGGACACAAAGCTCTCTCCCTCCCTTCCAAAGAAGAACATAGGAGAGAGTTGGGAAGGGTTCTTGCAGTCTTCGGCCCCCAAATTCACGGGCCCAGCCCCCCTTCCACCTTGCCCCCAGCCCTGGCTCAGCATCTTCTTTTCCAGATGGGTCAGCCCGGAAGGGGTCAGGGAGGGCATCATATGAGAAAGTGGCAGCAAGAGTCTGTCTTTTCTTTGAACCTGTTGGGGAACTGGATATAAGCGAAAGTATCTCTGTAGAAAATACAACTTCATTATTGAGTACTTACTGTGCATCAGGTACTTTACATATGTTGTACCCAAATAACCATTTTACAGAAGAATAAGGATCAGCACTCAAGTTCAGATAGAGTTGGAATTCTCAGCCCTGGTAGGATTTTGCCAGCTCCATTCATTCTAGGGCCTGAGGGACACCAGTTCCAAGGGGTCATTTCATCGTGTCCTGAGGCCTTATTCCCCTGGCCCTGACCCTGGGATTTTCCCATTTCCCTTCTTTCTGGTTTCTCTCCCATGTGCCTTAGAGACATAAATGACACTGGTGGAGCAGTCCCAAGCTAGTGTAACATGACGTCCTGGAGGCCTAGCTGGAGTGGGATAAGGGAACCATTGGGTTGCATCTGAATCCACACAGCTGACCTGCAACACGCTCCTGTCTGCACTGGTTGGGTTCAGACTGGGGAAGCACTGTGTGGGGAGAGGGGAGCCTTGATCCCAAAAAGAGCCTGGCCTCAGAGGCCAGCGGGTCTGGGGAGCAGTCAGTCTTGGGCGGGGTGGGAAGGGCAATGGGATGTAGCTTCTCTGCCAAGGGTTCCTCAGCCTCTTTGGATTCCCGATTCTATCCTCCTTCCTCTCAAGTGTCCGAAATAGAGGACTTAAATGTTTTTTATAGGAGCTTTACTAAGATATAATTCACACACCATAAAATTCCCCTTTACAGTGTACAGTTCAGTGGTTTTAGTATATTCATAAAGTTGTGCAACCATTGCCACTAATTTTAGAACATTTGTATCACCCCCAAAAGAAGCCCTGTGCCCATTGGCATCACCCTGCATTATACCCCACACCCCCAGCTCCTGGCAACGACTCATCTACTTTCTGTCTCTACGGGTTTGCTATTCTGGAAGCTTCATATAAATGAAATCATATGATATGTGGCCTTTTGTGTCTGGCTTCTTTCACTGAACACAATGTTTTTAAGGTTCATCCATGCTGTATCGTGTATCCCAGCTTCTGTCCTTTTTATTGCCCAGTTATACTCATTGTGCAGCTGCGCCACGGTTTGTTTATGCATTCAGCTGTTGATGTTGATGTGTTTGTTTTTAAACCTTCTCAGAGATCATGTCCAGTTCTCTAGCCCAGGCCAGGAGGGGCAGTAATGCAGAGTGGGGTAGGGTCCCTGCTCTGCAGTTCAGGGGTCCAGGCCTGAGCAGGGCACACCCTGGCTGCAGAGTGGGGTCCAAAACCCAAGGCCTTCAGGGATGTGGGACCTCACACCTCTGCTGGTCACCCTACTTTCCTGCACCCCCGCCGCATCTCTCACTCCCCTCCCAGGACCTTAACTGGGGTAGAGCGGGAAGTCTTCTGGAGCCTACCCAGCTTAGAAAATCTATTTGCATGGCAAAGGCTCTGCGTTTTAGGATGGGGAATTAAAGTTATTAGCAAGTCTTTTCACAGATAAGTGGGGCTCATTGGCCATCCCCCTTCCCTGCGGAGGGCCTCTCCTCCAGCTCTGAGCCCAGGAGGGGCCCACTGTTTATTAGCACCTGGGTGTGAATTTTCATTAACACATCCTTGCTAATAGCCGCCAAGATGTAGGATTGGAGATGGAAAGGGGTCTCCTCCTACCGCTCCAGCGCCTCCATTCCCCCATTCCTGGCCCAGCCCCATCCCACACCAGAGAAAACCCTGCGTGCGCATTCACAGTGACGATGACAGTAACCAGTGTCCAGGTAGGGCGCACCCCGTGCGAGGCGGTAAGGGAGCCTCTCTCACCTCATTTCTCAGCCAACCTATGAGGTGACCCCACTTACGGGCCATTTTAAGGAGGGGAAAGTTAAGTAAGGAGGAGGCTAACTAACTCTCCCACCCAGCTGTTGAGCGGCAGTGTTGGGCTGCAGACTCAGGGATGACTCCGAGCCCGTGTGCTTGACACTGGGTGCGCCACCGTCGCTATGGCGCAACACCAACTTGTCTCAGGAACAGAGAGCACTGGTGGTGCCTCACCTACCCGAGGCCCTGGCAGGGGGCCCAGGCTTGTGTGGCATGGAGGTGGCAGTGAGAATGCGTCAGCACAGGGTCACCTGACCGGGGCCAGCCTGGCCTCTGGTCACCGATGGCCACCAGCTGTCCTCCTTTCCCACACAGCTGCTTTCATGCTCTGACTTGTGGGTTAGGCTCAAGCTTCGCCGTCTAATTTCAACTCGTTTCAGCCCCAGAGCCACTGGGGAGGGGGGTAAGCGAGTGCTCATGCCTGTTATAACACATCAGGGAACTGAAGCACACGCAGGTCAAGGGATTTTTCACAAAGCTACTATGTGGCTGTTGGGGTGGGGGACAGCTGTGGGCTGTTGGGGTGGGGACAGCAGTGGGTGGGTGATTGACAAATCCAGTCTTTGGACAAGCACTGGCAGGCAAGTGCGTGCTTGTGCGTGCATGTGTTTGTGTGTGTGTGTGTGGGGGGGGGTAAAATAAAGTTCTTAATGCACAATGGCCACCAGTGCCGTTGCAGCAGGGAACCTGCTTCTGCTTGCTGACCACACGTGCTGCTCCACGCTGAGTCAGCTGTGCGTGTAAATGCTGAGGCTGATGGGCCAGCATCTTAAGGAAGTGTAGCTAAGTCGATTGTTGTATATTGAAATTTATTCAAGGACATGCCAAGGTCACAATTTGAATGCAAGGGTAGAAGAAGAGGGGTGATGGTCAACAGTTGTCCTATGGGCAGATGTCAGACTGTCGCTAGAGCAGTGATGCTGGGGACACCTGGAGGGGAGCCAAGGTCAGATTCAGCTGCCCTGGGACTGTGTCCTCTGGCCACGTGTTGCTAATAAACACATTTGTCTGAGGGGCACATGGATGCCCCAGGGATCTGAAATGCTGCCACCTGGAGAACTGGGGCAGCTCAGGGCTGGAGAGGGAAGCTAGCCCAGTCCAGCCGCAAAGCCCCTGCTTGTTCCAGGGCCAGGCTAGAGGCCACTGTGCTCAAGTGCTGGTCTGCATTTGCACAGTCCTGAGAGTCAGTGCCTCCTGAAATTTTGCACCTGGGCACTCGTTTGCCTCACCCTAGTCCCAGCACTGTCCTGAGAAGACATAAGTTTCTCAGTGTTTCAAGGGGCTCAAGCACCTGGCGGGGAAAGACCTCTTTGGGACCATGGGCATGGCCTCCTCAGCCTGGTGGTGCACCTGCCTGAGGGTGGCTTGAGCCCTGGAAGCCCAGCCTCCCAGTTGGGGATCCCCAACCTAGTGCTGACTTTGCCAGGCCCTGGTTCCGCCTTATATAAGGCTCCTTGTGAATGCCACAGCTCCCCTCTTCTCCTTCACTCTCCCCACGCACATAGGAAATGGGGAGGTGGCCTGGGATTGGCAGCATATGACTGAAGAGGGTGAACTGGGATCCCCATCCTAGCTCTGCCTGGACAGGGCACCTCTGCTGTCTGCGCCTGCTCAGCATCCCTCCCGCCTTCCTGCCTCACAGCCCTGTCATCTTCCTTTCCTCAGACAGCTGTCCCCCTTGCCAGTCCCTCCAGGGATAGGCACCACCACCCACGGGCCTGCATCGTCATCACACTGAGTGGCTCAGGAAAGTGACTGCATTCAGGCCAGTGAGGAGTGGCTCAGGACTTTGCCGGAACCATTGAGAAAGGGACATTCATATGGAGAGTGGCAGTTGCCCAAGCACAGGGCCTAGCTGAAGGAAGAACCAGAACTGAGAAACGGAGGGAAATCCCTGATGCTATTTCAACACCTGGATCCAGCTACACTAAAGGCATTACTCTCGGACGTCTAAGTTATTGGAGCCAACAAATCTGAGTTGGGTTTCTGACACTTATTGTGGGAAAAAAAATCCATCAAACTGTGCAACTTGAGTCTCAATTTCTCTCTCTGTAAAATGGGGCTCATAATGATATTTGTGTTTCATGAGGTTACTTAAGGCTTAAATGTGAAATGTTGGTCCCCCCATCATCTTTAGGTGGGTGTAAGGCCCACCTTCCTAAATTCTCCTCCCTTGTCTCAGAAGAGAGCTGCCGCAGTGCTGCTGTGCGGAGGACAGTGATTGAAAATAGCTACGTTTGCTTTCGTTTTCATTCCCACGGTAGGAGGGGAGAGGGGCGGACTGTCTCGGGAGCGGATCCTTCATCCAGGCAACATTCAGCCAGTCGGTATCAGCACCATAAGGAAGGTTTTGTGCCAACGAGGACCGTGGTGTGTGACCCAGGGGAGCAGGTGGACGGGGGCACAGAAGAAGCAGCTGTCACATACCCTGTGTGCGGTCAACCTTCCAGGGCAGCTTATCATCATCAGGAAGGCGGGGATACATGAACCACCTGCAGTTCTCAAAGGAACCACACAGTGTCCTCAGAGAGGCAGACAGAGCCCTTGAGCTGGGGGACTCCAGTTCTGGGAGGGACAGTTTCTATTTCTTTCTTTCTTTTTTCTTTTTAAAATTAATTAATTAATTAGGGCTGGCTGGTATAGGGAAATTTTTTTAAATTTTTGCAGTGGACCGGTAAGGGGATCTAAACCCTTGACCTTGTAGGAGGAACAGTTTCTAAAGAGCAGGGCCCCTGTCTGGCCTCTACCGGGCCCCCATAAACCCCAATGCCCCTCGAATTCGTGGGCCAGTGGGCCCAGCTACTGCCCGTCACCTGCCTCCCTGGCCCTGCCTCCCTTATCTGTGTGGCCTCAGGCTGTCATTCCACCACTCAGCCTCAACTCTTCAAAATGATTCTGTAAAAGTTA